CTTACCTTTGCCTTTGGTGCCTCCCTCTCCCTCTCCAACACATCCTCCTCCTCCATAGAGCTTGGCGAAGCCCTGCCGGAGTACTGCAGCTCCATCACCACCACGCCGTCGTGCTGCTGCTGGAGCCATCTTCCTCAACCTCTCCTTCCCCCGTGCTGGATCAAGAAGAAGGAGACGTCACGCTGACCGTACGTGTGTTGAACGCGGAGGTGCCGTCCGTTCAGCGCTAGGATCTCCGGTGATTTGGATCACGTCGAGTACGACTCCCTCATCCCCGTTCTTTGAACGCTTCCGCTCGCGATCTACAAAGTTATGTAGATGCATCCGGTCACTCGTTGCTAGATGAACTCCTAGATGGATCTTGGTGAAACCGTAGGAAATTTTTTGTTTTCTGCAACGTTCCCCAACACACCACGCCGTCGTGCTGCTGCTGGATGGAGTCTTCCCCAACCTCTCCTTCTCCCCTTTCTGGATCAAGGCGTAGGAGACGTCACCGGGCTGTACGTGTGTTGAACATGGAGGTGCCGTCCGTTCGGCACTAGGATCATCGGTGATTTGGATCACGACGAGTACGACTCCATCAACCCCGTTCACTTGAACGCTTCCGCTTAGCGATCTACAAGGGTATGTAGATGCACTCTCCTTCCCCTCGTTGCTAGATTACTCCATTGATTGATCTTGGTGATGCGTAGAAAATTTTGAATTTCTGCTACGTTCCCCAACAATCACTGGACAGCGGTGAAAATTATTCTTAGAGGACTAAGGAAATATTTTTTGGTTATGGAGGTGATAAAACAGTTCGTCATAAAGAGTTATGTCGATGCAAGCTTTGACACCAATCTAGATGACTCCGAGTCTCGATCTAGGTACATATTGAAAGTGGGAGCAATTAGCTAGAGTAGCTCCGTGCAGAGTATTGTAGATATAGAAATTTGCAAAATACATACGGATCTGAATGTTGCAGACTCGTAGACTAAAATTTCTCTCACAAGCAAAACATGATCATACCTTATTACTCTTGGGTGTTAATCACATAAGCGATGTGAACTGGATTATTGACTCTAGTAAACCCTTTGAGTGTTGGTCACATGGCGATGTGAACTATGGGTATTAATCACATAAAGATGTGAAATATTGGTATTAAATCATATGGCGATGTGAACTAGATTATTGACTCTAGTGCAAGTGGGAGACTGAAGGAAATATGCCCTAGAGGCAATAATAAAGTTGTTATTTATATTTACTTATATCATGATAAATGTTTATTATTCATGCAAGAATTGTATTAACCGGAAACTTAGTACATGTGTGAATACATAGACAAACAAAGTGTCCCTAGTATGCCTCTACTAGACTAGCTCGTTAATCAAAGATGGTTAAGTTTCCTAGCCATAGACATGTGTTGTCCTTTGATGAACGGGATCACATCATTAGAGAATGATGTGATGGACAAGACCCATCCGTTAGCTTAGCACTATGATCGTTTAGTTTATTGCTATTGCTTTCTTCGTGACTTATACATGTTCCTATGACTACGAGATTATGCAACTCCCGAATACCGGAGGAAGACTAAGTGTGCTATCAAACATCACAATGTATCTGGGTGATTATAAAGATGCTCTACAAGTGTCTCCAATGGTGTTTGTTGAGTTGGTACAGATCAAGATTAGGATTTGTCACTCCAATTATCGGAGAGGTATCTCTGGGCCCTCTCGGTAATGCACATCACTATAAGGCTTGCAAGCAATGTTACTAATGAGTTAGTTGTGGGATGTTGCATTACAGAACGAGTAAAGAGACTTGCCAATAATGAGATTGAACTAGGTATGATGATACCGACGATCGAATCTCGGGCAAGTAACATACCGGTGACAAAGGGAACAACGTATGTTGTTATGCGGTTTGACCGATAAAGATCTTCGTACAATATGTAGGAACCAATATGAGCATCTAGGTTCCGCTATTGGTTATAGACCGGAGATGAGTCTCGGTCATGTCTATAAAGTTCTCGAACCCGTAGGGTCTGCACACTTAACGTTCGATGAAGATCGGTATTATGAGTTTATGTATTTTGATGTAACGAATGTAGTTCGGAGTCTCGGATGTGATCACGGACATGACAAGGAGTCTCGAAATGGTCGAGATATGAAGATTGATATATTGGAAGGTTATGGTTGGACACCGGAATGGTTTTGGATGAGTTCAGGCATATACCGGAGTACCGGGGGGTTACCGGAACCCCTTGGGGGCTTAATGGGCCTACATGGGCTTTAGTGGAAGAGAGAGGAGGCGGCCAAGAGGTGGAGGCGCGCCCCCCAAGCCCAATCTTTCCCTTCATTCCCCCTCCTATTATGACTAGGAAAGGGGGGAAACCTACTCCTAGTAGGAGTAGGAATCCCCCTTGGGGGCGCACCATGAGGCCGGCTAGCCCCCTCCTCCCCTCCTTTATATACGAGGGAGGGGGCACCCCATAGACACACAAGTTGATAATTGTTTTCGCCGTGTGCGGTGCCCCCCTCCACAGATACACACGTCGGTCATATCGTCGTAGTGCTTAGGCGAAGCCCTGCGCCCGCAACTTCATCATCACCATCAACAAGCTGTCGTGCTCACGAAACTCTCCCTCGGCCTCAGCTGGATCAAGAGTACGAGGGACGTCACCAAGCTGAACATGTGCAGATCGCGAAGGTGTCGTGCGTTCGCTACTTGATCGGTTAGATCGCGAAGACGTTCGACTACATCAACCGCGTTTCTTAACGCCTCCGCTTTTGGTCTACGAGGGTACGTAGACATACTCTCCCCTCTCGTTGCTATGCATCTCCTAGATATGTCTTACGTGATCGTAGAATTTTTTTTGAAATATACTACGTTCCCCAACGTCATCTATAGAGATGTTCTGTCAATATTCATCTGCTTCTGACTCCACGTGGGCCTCTAGACTATGAAACTCACCTAGACAAACAGAGCTTTTTGGAGCACAATAGAGTTGTCACCCCGCAGTAGTAGATGCATTTCCACAATGGTTCAAGATACTTTCTAAATCGTTCGCCAACCAGAACCTCAGTTCCGACGAACACAACATCATATATAGATGTGTTCACAAGATCAAGACCATAGAGGCCATCTAGAAGTCCAAGATGATGGAGTAGGAAAATACCAAGGAGTTCATGAGGGAGATGCACATTCTCTCCCAGGCGAACCACCAAAACATCTTGAAGCTTCTCGTCTGCTGCCTTGAGGTGGAGTAACCAATGCTGGTCTATGAGTGTCTCAAACAACACCCTCTTCCACTTCATCCACTACGAGTAGCTTAACACCGACATGCCCATGGATAGTCGTAGAGGCATTGGCATACATGCACTCAAAGACCTACCTGCCAATCCTCCATGAAGACGTTAGGAAGGCCAACATCCTCCTCCAGAGCAATTTCATTACAAAGTATTGGACTTCGGGGCGTAGTCAGCATCAAGTGGCAACGCTAAGATTGCGGCAATAGTGTAGGAGACCCACGGGTACCTAGACCTGGAGTACCTCATGATGTGTCAGCTAAGACAAAATCAACGTGTACAACTTTGAAGTTGTTTTACTAGAACTCAATTTCTAACTAGGAAGAAGTCACTATGCTTCAATGGGCATGAGGAGGACAAGAGTCCGGTGCCGCCTATGGTGATCGTGAAGGCCAGGGGGCACGATGAGCTCTTGGACTACCAAGTGAGGAAGGAGATGGGACCCGAGGTATAGGAAGAGGTCACACTCTTTGTGACACAGTATTGACCATGAGGAGGGAGGAGCAGTTGTTCATGAAGGACGTCGCAGAGAGGAAACATTGACAACCGTGGGGTCATGATGGTGGTGATTCAGAGAGAAGGGAGAGGTATCACTTGCTTGGCGGGAGGAATAAGGAGATGTAGGTTATAAGTTCAGACCTCAAGACATCATTGACCTTGAAGGGGGCAATACATCATTTTTAGCTTGTAGATCGGGGTACTCCCTCCATTCAGGTATGTAAGGTTGACACGGGTTTTTAGGTCTTCAATTTGAGTAGCGAAATGTGTGTAATATGTCACCAATGTATATGTTTAAAAACTTTCTTTGACAATGAATCCAATAATGTATTTTTACTTTTTAGTCACATATAACACACGTTCTCCTTCGTAGATTGCTTGAAACTTCTCAAGGTTAAGAATCTCCAACGCCCCACGATTGGTGTAGCGACAGACGCTCTCCTAATGAATCTTGTAAACTTGTTTCAGATTACAATCGGACAGCACACCGCCACACCTACGCACACGTGTAGCATTATCTTGGCTGACTTGGCTAACTTGTGCCGAGATGGTTATGCTAGACTAGAGGCTAGGGTGATTTTTCCTCAAGCATATACTGTCCCGGTAGCTTAGGTGATGTGCCTTGCCTGCAGAGCTACAACAAGATACTGATTCCTCCTTTCATGTGCTACACATTCACGCCCTCGCCTAACTACAGTAGCTAGTACGCAGCCGCTGACCTCCTTGCTATTTATACACCCCGAGTTGTGTCTGCATAGAACACAACACCAGAGTCACAGGAGAGCAGAGCAGAGCAGCCAAGCAAAGTAAAGAGATCAAGAGAGATGGCGTCCAGGGCATTCCCAGCTCTGGTCCTTCTCGTGCTCATCTGCGGCCAGCTCGTGGTCGGCGGCCATGCCCAGCCCTACATCGGCGGCACCAGGGGAGGAGGAGGATCTGCCGCCGGACTGCGGCCACCGACTTCCACCGCCACCCATGGCCACTCCTCCACCATTGGTAATCTATTGCGGTAACCAATCTCTCATGATTTTAGCTGTAATCAATCTCTGCACACAACATCGAGTTATCCCTACTCTACTTCTCCATTTGCTTGCCATTGATAAACCATTTCATCTCCTGCCATGTCATGACATTTAACCTGTCCCTGGTTCTGAGTCTTCTGACAGTTGTTTGTTTGGGTTGGGGTCATACCAGGAGGATACGACGGGACTGGAAGGCCTTCAGCCATGGGAGAAGACAAGTCCTTCATGATCAACAGCCTGCCGGCGCACGACCACCCGCTTCCTGTCCCGCCGTCCGGTCAGTAGACCATGAAGTGCAGCCGAGCTTGAGACCAACGACCGTGTAGCCAGCACTAAGAATAAATTTGTGTGAAGTTGCTGTGTTTGCAGGATGACTCTGTTTCTGTCATCAGGGGTATAAAATTAAGCAGAATACAACAAACTACTACTAATGTACTGTTGAGAAAGTTGGGAATTCACAGTGCTTTCAAGGGAACATATATAAGTAAGTTTATCCCAAAATTTCGTCTACATCTTACCAAAAAACAGAATGAATTTGTCTCAATGGTGCATGAACGTTTTCGATCTTACACTGTTTTGTACTGAAAAATGTGCATGGTCTAGGCTAGAACGACCTCTCGAACGAAACCACGAGAACCACTTCTCCTTGAGAAGATTGCAAGCAAATACCAAAGAGAAAGGCCGATATCTACATGACTACATCCGATTTCCTCCCTTTGGCCAGATACCAAAACCATCGATCTCTAACTAGAGGCAGAAATACAACTTCACAATAAGCCTCTCAACCTAGCACTAGTTCTAGTGAGTCAACCCTGGCACCACCGCTGCTTCTGCCCATCGCTAGTTTGTGAGAAATCAACAAGGCAAAAATTGAGCCGTTGTCTGTGAAGATCTATCTACAGATGGATGGAGCGGTTGCATCATGTTGGTCAATCGAATTCAGCCAGCCACCGCATCACCCCCGCGGCTCACCATCCATGGATGCCCTACAGAAAGCGCCACCCTATTCAAAAAACGCCAGCGAACTCGAGGGACGAAGATGGGCTTTTTTGTTTCAGGGGATCGAAGAGGGCTGGTCGGCCAGGGTTTGTGGCTGAGGGAGGAGCAAACCAATTTCTTGAGCAATGCCCAGCTTCTTCTTCGCATACGTTGCATCGGGTGAAAAAACCCACACTTCCCTAACCCAATTGCTCAAGACCCCCTCTCATTCTACGACACAACGCCAGACATGATGGGATGAATAAACTCTTTGAAATCGGCTGCCATGAAAATATATACTGTAGAAAAAATATGCATGTATTTCGATTTTCAGTTCATTTGTATTCGCCCCACAGGTATGTCACAAAAGCTTTAGTTGGTGTGGTGGCTAGCTTGTCGGGTGAATAAAGTGGAGGTCCACAGTTTGAATCCCAGGTGGCTCGCTTTTATCTTTTTATGCATTTTTCGCCCGACCTCTTGCGCGAGGTCAATCCAAATGGGCCGGCCCGGTCGCTCGATTCCTATGCGAATGGACGTTTTTTTTACGCAGAATGCGTCAAAAGCAAATCTTATTTGGCATTGCAGGCGCCCGTTAACGTGTATTCTGCAGACGGGCGCCTACAGCACCCCGTACTGGGCCGGCCCGTTACTGCATACTCTATTCCGCAAAAAAGAAGGGAGCCGTCGTTGCAACTCGAACCACAGATCTGCCGGATTGATGTTCGATAGTATAACCACCACGACACACAATACAATCTGATAATATTCAACTCTTTCTTTGCTTTATTCGTTTCTTTTCCTTTTTCCTTTCCCCTTTTTCTTTTTTCCTTTTTCTTTTCTTTTTTGCGTTTTTTGTTTCTTCTTCTTCCTGGTTTCTTTCCCTCACTGACTTCGTTTTTTTCTTAAATACGTGAACATTCTCAAATTCAATGATTTTTTTTCTAAATTTGATGAACTTTTCTTTTCAAATCTATGAACTTTTAATAATTTTTGGGAACTACTTTTAAAAATTGATTATTTTGTTTCAAAATTGATGATTTTTTTTCAAATTCGACGAACCCTTTTCAAAATATTTGAACTCTTTTCAAATTCAATGAACTTTTTTTCAAATTGGATGAACTATTTTTGCAAATTGATTAACATTTCTTAATTATTTGTGAACTACTTTCTTAAGTTGATGAACTTTTTTCAAATTGGTGAACTTTTTTTTTCAAATTTTTGATGAACTTTTTTAAATTTTTTGTGAACTACTTTTGTAAATTGATGAACTTTTTTTAAAATCATTGGGCTTCTCTTGAATAGGGCGATGTTTTTATGCATGTTCATGAACTTTTTCCGAAATTTGTGAGGTTTCATTTTCTTAAAAAAATCATATGTTCTCTCAAAAAAAAATGGGCCGGCCCTAGTGGTTAGCTGAACACACGTAGGTAGTGCAGGTAGCGAGTTTTTTATATGGGTACAATATGCGAAGTATTAAATAGAGTTGTTTTCGTATCCTACAACACACAGTGGCCTTTGGCGCAGTGGTTGTTGTGTGGAGAGAAGCAAGTTTAACAAAATCATGTGGGTTCGAATCCCAGCTCTAGCGTATATTTTCTATTGTTAATTTTCCTTTTCACTTCTACTTCTAGAAGTAGCTGCTGGGCCGGCCCGTTAGGCTGCGCGCGCGAGCCCCAAAAGGGCTAAGCGACGCTGAATGTGCCGAGTAGGAGCTCCCTGCGTCAAATACGTGCTCGCGTGATTCCCTGAATTAGTACCACCTCGGTTATATATTTTAAATTTAAACTGTGAGCGTAAATTCACAGAAAGAAAGTGTATTGTGACGGTGAATCCGGAGACCCAATCCATGCTTTATTATTAGGGAGAGATATGTATTTGGTTTCCTGGCCTGAAAGTATAGTAAATTTAGCTTCCACATCAGCAGAAAAAAACGCGCATTAAAATTAGCCAGAACTGAGGTACATCTAGCATCTTGGTAAGAAAAAAGAAGCGACTGGTAAATTTTTTTGATGGCGTCCTTGATCAACTCATTAACATCATGGCCTTCCTGACCCTAGAAGCAAACACAAATTTCTTTAGTGAGAACAAACACTCCAGTTTTTTTGAGCAAAAGAGGGATGCTGATAGGCAACCAGACAACATCTGTCGCTACTCGTATCTAGTTGATGAAGGATGTTGATAGTCTGAATCTAATACCAAACAAACCTCGTAGCCAAACCTAACATCTAAGACCCAAGGTCCCAATCAGGACGCCTGCTGAGTATGAGGCACCCATCAGTCCGACACACTCCTCAACCAGAACACCTGCGGGTATGAGGCCGCCGTAGCCGCCTGCCACCAATTCATCTTCATTGTTGAACTACTGCATCTACCTTGCCCGGTCTAGTTGCTATCGACGCCACCACGACGCCAGACAACGCCACCATCCTGCGCTTGTCCATCATCACACGCCCACCGGCGAGACCTCGCTGCTCCATGCCACCGAGACCCGTCATCGTCGACGCGAGAGATGGCACGCCACATCACCTCACGCCTCTTCCAACCGGCGCCGCTCCACAAACGATGCCCCCAAGAGGCAACACGACACCGCAGCACCGCCATCGTCTGATCCGGTGATCTTAGGATTTCTCCCGGAGTGGCACGAGCAGGTTGACAATAGTTGCTTGACGATGCCTTCATCAAGGTAATGACATAGACGTCGCCATCGCCCGCCATGACCGGAGTCGGCTCAGTTTTCATCGGTGACACTGTCTCCCCAACTCGCCGCCGATGCTAATAGTGGGATCCAAGATCCGTCACTATGAGCTTGGCCAACCGCCTTCGATGAAGAAGGCAGCCACCACCACCATGCCCGGGCCAAGAGACCCGGATGTCCTCGTGCTGCGAAGATAACCCAGGGGGGATCTCCTCTTGCCGTTGTCGACACGAGGTGCAGCCGCAGTAGATCTCGATCTAAATCCCTCGGGCCTAGATCAGATCTCATCGCAATCCGCCAATGGCCGCCGGAGATCTCCTGACCACCGCCAACCCGCTGCGCACTGTCATTGGAGGAGGAGGGAGATGGACGCCGCTGCCCCCACATGTTACCGCTGGCCGAGGCCTGCGCCGCCGCCTCACCACAGGGGCTTCGCCCCGCGGCGTCCTCAGCGACGGCGGCAGTAGTGGGAGGCGATGGAGGAGGAGGGCGAAGGGCGCTGCGGACGAGGGCTCCCCGGGGGCGGCGCGGCGCCGCCGCCTCGGGAGAGAGAGGGGCGGCGCAACCCGGGTTACCAGAAAGCACTTGTCACCTACTCGTACATACATTATCTGGAAGGATGAGGCGCTGCTAGTCCTGCAAGTGAACAGTACCAATTCTCCTCGAGATTGGAGGGCAGGAACAACGCTAACAGGCTCGCATCGTCCATTCCCCGGTATTTCTAGCCACTTCTTTCATTTTAACCATGGCCATCTCAACTGCAAAGTCCTTGTAACTTCTCAAGGTTAAGAATCTCCAACGCCCCATGATTGGTGGAGCGACCGACCTAATCTTGTAAACTTCTTTCATATTACGATACCTACGCACATTTGTAACATTATCTTGGCTGACTTGGCTAACTTGTGCCGAGAAGGTTATGATAGACTAGAGGCCAGGGTGATTTTTCCTCAAGCACATGACCTTGTAATCTGTCCCGGTAGCTTAGAGCATCTCCAGCCATTGTGCCCCTCAGAAAGCGTTTTTCGCCTCCTGGGAGGCACCGGCAGATTTTTTGAGCCTGGGTAGCAAATTTTTCCAGCCGTCTCCACCCCAAACATCTCTGCACCTCGACGAGCAGGACGCGTGGCGGCAGCTCGAAGGTTCACGAGCGCGTGGCGCGCAGTGAGGAAGAGCACCGACGCCCAGTGCCCCGCCGTGGCCAGCGATGCCAGGAGGAGCTAGCGCACCGCCCGCGTCCATCAGCGAGGCCCGGCCCTCCGAGTAGGCGCCCCACGCTGCAGATCACCACGAGAGCCAGCCTGCGGATGGCCGTTGGCTCGGCCCCGCCGAAGGAGGAGGACGTGGCCGCGGCACGGGGCTCGGCCTACGCCGCGTCGTGGCCGCGCGCCCCGCGCTTGAATCGCCAAGCTCCTTCGAGAGGGGACGCTGGTGCTGCTCGCCGGCGCACTACGGGGCCGCGTGGATGGCCCCGCCACCATCTCCGCGTCTTCTTTGCCTCCGTGCTCCAACTACTGGACGGTGGTATGGCGCATGGTGGATGCGCTCCAGCGCGACGCACGCGCCCTGCAACAACTACTTGGCGTGCCCCCTCATGGCCACGCCGCCCAGGCCGCGCCGCCCCCGTCCGCCCATCCCGCCCGCCCCGGCTCCCCGCTGGCCGCCGCCAGCCGTGCCGTGCCCGTGTGAGGCTCAGGGTTGCGCCCGCCGGTGCGTGGCTCTGGGCCGGGGCCGCTCGGGGCCGGCCGTGGTCGCGATGCTTGGGGCCGGG